CCGGCCGGAATTTCCATGTTCCTACAACCAATTTAAAGACGATCCAATCAACAAATTCAGATTTCCAGACAAAATCCAACATAATAAAATCTTACCTAGAAATTAAGAGCTTTTGACCAATTAATGGTTAATGTATAAATGGGTTAAAAAAGTTCGATAAGAACGATCACATAACATAATACATTAGATAGTACCTACGTTACACTAAAGGCCTTTTATTTATCTCACATATTTCTTTTTTATTTTAAGTTGTCTAAATTGATATGATTATGTGGGTTGAAGTCAAAGAAAATGAATACTACCCGCCCACATATATCGTGTTTCATATTGGCTTTGGTTTGCTTTGAACTTATGAAGCCACCAAGGCTTTGCTCTAGCTTCGATGGCCTGTCCATTAATTAATTTATTCATTTAAGGACCCTTTAACGGTTTAATACGCGAATATATTAGATAACGTTTCCTTCATTAGTTAGCTTACATATAAAGTAAGCTTTGACGCAGCTGAAACGAAGTAGTGAAAAGATATTAATTAAAAATACGTAAACCTTTATAGTTGACGTTTTAAACAGTTAAAATTGTTTAAAGGTGTATGCTTAAACTACAGACAGTACCTAGATTTTACTGATTTAATATTTTGTGTAGATAATAGAAATAATCCTATATCATTTATACGCAAGTACATTTGAAAAATGATGTAAATGTGTAATGGTTCTACTGATGATTTTTTATAACGAATTCAGAAAAATTACTCTGTTTTAGTCATTTACGATGCTTTTATGTTGTCCTACCGTAATCGAATCCCCTCGACCTATAGTTGTTAGTCATTTTAATAAGTGCTTGATTTTTTTTCAATTGATACGTAACAATCTTGATTGTATCAATGGTATTGAATTTTTTAAAAAGCATAAAAAGGCACTAAAGAAAATTTTCATTTAAAATTTAATTTAATTAATTATTGTTATTGTATTAATGCCAATTAGGATGAGATTAAATGTTAAATGGCAAAGAATAACATCACAAAGCTGCGTTTTGTATTACGGTGCCCTTTGTCGCAGAGGAAACTAATAAAATATAAATTAATAAGTCGCTAAATAGCTCAATCGCGACTGACCTTCCACGAACAAAGACCTAAATATCAAAGAAAATATCCACTACAATAGAAGCGGGGGATAATTTTGTATTTTTTTGCGAAAAAAGAAATAAGCCTTTGTTCTTCGGAACACGCCCCGTTAACTTTTTCATCCAGTGATAATCCTATTGTAGAGAATTTGCGTCTTAGGCGTCCGTGTCGCTTCGGCTTGAATAATGTCCTCTGTTTATTGTTACTATTTGTTATTTAGGGACTTAATGTGGTTACTTCACATTTCACTGAATTTAAATGCATTGAAAAGTATTATTCTAATAAATCTTGTCTGCTTAAAAAAATATCAACTTATCTTGTATACATAGTGATGGCTTTGACGTACCCATTGGTCTAATAGTAGCAACTTATGTATGTATGTTACGTATCAACGGGTCTTAGGTTCGACCCCCATCCTTTCAACATGTTTCTATCTACTCAAATTTTAATAATTTAAAAATCGAAAATAAATTGATCTTCAATTGACCTCAAGTCGTAGAATAACAGCACGGAACGCTGACGATGCCGGTTCAAGCCCTGCCCGAGTCGAAAATTGTTTCAATTTATTTTCGATCTTTAAATTATATAATGCCATCATGTGCAATAACATGTGAAAAATATTAAAGGTTTCATACTCAAATTATACTTTTCCTGAAATTTATTAGACTTCGTCTGGAAACCTGAATATGAAATGGGAAATATTATCGAAATTGTGTACGGGTGACGAACCACCGTCCACAGATGAAAATGCTATGAAGTTTAATCGCGTCTTGGTTTCAGTTTATGGATTTCCGAATTTTGGCTTTCCATAAGCCAAAATAGATCGACAGCATCTAAAATAAAAATTACTGTAAATGGCTTATTCGCAGATTTATTTTATTAATATAAAATAAATTTACTTCCGTATAGAATATTATATAAATTCGCATTGTATGTCTAGGTATTGTTGGTTTCCTTTACATAGGTAAATGTATAAGATAATATCTTTATAAACATATATGCTATCTACACGGAAAGTACAAGCGTGAAAATGAAACATATAGCCCTGTTTCTCAAGTAGGAAGTAACGCTGGAATGCTCTTCGAACCACCCTCTACGTATGAGAGTGCCTATCCGCTACGCCGTAGCACCGCGTAGCACACACTACGCGCGCGTACCAGGCATGTTGGAATTTAAATTTTTCCTAACAGTGCGGAGGGTAGAATTAACAAATATGTCCCATATTAAAATGTAACAACGTCATTAAAGAGAAGTCGGGCGTGCCTAAGCAAATATTGGGGCAATCACGCGCAAGTACAACTCGTTAGCTCGGCTGTAAGATTGTATTTATTTTAATTAAAGGATAAGGGGATGTGCGTTGATGAACTTTGTGTTTTCGTTTCAAGAGTGCGGGTAGTCGTTTGAACGCATCGTCTTCTGTAACTTTTAATGTAGGGCTAAGGGAATGAATATATAGCTATTAAAGACTTAAGTATTGCACGATGGCATTATATAAATTAAGAACATATTTAGCTAAAATTTACACGGTCGCGACTTGAACCGGCATCCATAGTTCAGCTATTTAAACCAATTTTATTTTTGACATATTCAACGTTAATATAATCTAAGATGCCTTATCCAAGTTATGAATTTAAGTTGCTTGTCTTTTGATTTTAAAATATCAATTTAGCTATTAACTTTTTGCGCAGTGTCTAGAGCTAGTGAAATATTTAAAGTAAAGCTTAGAAAAATCTACATAAATGATATGATTAACGGATGTACGCTACGTAATGAAAATAATTTAGATTTATATTCTATTTCAACCTATTAGCGCTTGTAACAATAGTGTTATATGTATTACTTATATGTATGTTTCATTAATATATACAACTTTAGAGAAAACAAGAATGGCAACGCAAGCAAGCAATTCTTAAAAGAACGTTGTGACTTGAAAAAGAAGGGAACTAGATTCCTGTATATGTAAATTATTAGATATTTTTTTATTAAATATGTTAAAGTTCAAATATATACCTTTTTTATTTAAGGTATTTCTAAGCCGATCAAATGACACTGATACAAATGTTAATTAGTGTTGCTAAGTGTAAGTTAACACTCATCGACGTTCCCAATTTATCTTGAAGAAACTCAACACTTGTAAGCCAAGTCGAGATTACAAAGACTAAGAACTGAGGCAACACCTTCCCTTTTCGAAAAGTACCATTGACTTTTAAATACTACAGAGTAATTGAGATATAGAGGTGTTTTAAGTAAATCACGACTTAGCAAGAAATAATTATTCAACATTTACATGAATCGCTTCAAATTTTAAAAATAATTTTATACTTATTAGTCCGCGTCCTATATATTATTAACAAGGTATCGTGTGGTCGAAAGTTGAACCCAGAAAACTTGTCTGTTCCGGACCGATACGTGTGGATGCGATTTCGTAATCGCTTACCGTAACTTGCCGTTACTGTAACTGTTACTTGCGCTACTGTTCTCACGCACCAACCTGCTGATGAAATCCCCTCTTTTTCGTGCTATGCGAGTGATCAACAAGCTGTAGGGGGGAATAGAAATTTTCACTCACAATTTTTTTTTGTGGCGCTTGTTATCGCAATATTACCATTCTGTCAATCAAACAAACATTTGACAACATTTGTTGTAGTTGGTTAATATGGCTAATATGTTACTGTCAAGGCGGTGGAGAAGAGACACGTCAAAAAGAAAAACTAAGTATAAATTAAATGATTATAAATTATATAATAGATAAGTATATAAATAAACCAAGGAATGGACACTCACAACTTTCTCCTAATTCACCCAATGGACAAAAAAACACGTGGTGATATTCTATTTAAATTGGGATTTTATATTTTTAATATTTCTATCGAATTAGGATTCTCATGTAAAGTTAGAATATATATAAATATTTCAAGTCACCTTTATAACATATAAGCCCATTTTTATACAATAACTAAGACTTATTAATGTTAAAGGTAGTGTATAAAATATAGTAGTAATTAGTATGAGTTATAGGGTAATAATAGTATTGAGTTTGTATTTCTAGTTATTAGGAAAATTTATTTTTCTTTATTACATATTTTTCCTTCAATAATTTACCAGTTATTCAACTGTTAAGTCATAGTTACTTAAAAGAAAAATGCTTAATTATACATAAGTTTTAGTTACATGTGTAACTTGTGCTAATTCAAATAAATAAATAAACGAAATCAACACCGAGTTAAGTATCTAAACTTGCTTACTCTGTGCGCGAGATGCTAAAGTCTATAGTAATTTTAATTATTTAAAAGTACGTCCTCGTTCCCATTACGGTAACGATTCATTCAGTATCCAATTAATTTTGAAACATCTTTGCTGTTGATGACAAAAATTGGAAAGTATCCAGTGAGCTTTAAGGATTCACTTATTTTAATTATTTTCAATGTTTTTACACGACTGTCTCGACATTTTAGTAATTTATACAGTGACATGTCACTGTACAACTAAATGTGGTTCCATGACAACTAACTAAAATTGGTTAGTCACTAAACATACCTAAATATATGAATCAACTTGTGTTTTCTATACTACGATAAAAAATCTTGGGTGTCGAATTGAGGTAAACGAAATTAAATTGTTCTTCTCTTCACTTCACTTTTGTAGTTAATGCGAGTAATACACTTTAGAATTAAAACACTTTTAACGGTTCAATACGCGAAACAAATTAATTCACTTACGTATTCGTTCACTTCTGTACAATATTTTAGATATATTTTTTAATTTATTAGATTCTATTGAGCATTAACCTAATATATGTTTTTTTTTTTGGACTTGTTTACGAAGGCTATAAAATTATTATAAGTCTTTAACTGAAATCGTAGCTCATAAACCTTTGGAAATGTCCCAAAAGCAAACAGCGGTGTACGTAAATTTAAACAAAAGGTTGTGTCGCTAGGTCTGATTCAGTGCGGCGTACTATTTTGGCACAGTGTAAGTAAAACAGAAGGACACTTCTAAGATATTGTTGTCTTAGAATATTATCTTCGTTACTTCCTTCACGTTCTTTCTTATGTCAAGAAAAAATAAAAAGAATCATTTAATATTTTTGCGTTAATAATGTCACTAATGGGTAAATTAATATAATGTTTCATTTTATGTTTAAATAACTATTCTAAACCCTTTTTCAGAACAGAGTATAGGATAAACTTTACTGGAGAGGTCGCGTCCTACTGTTCCAAAGCAACTGTGGCGCAGGCTCCCATTCACCCATTTAGGTACATTAGCGCTGCAGCGAGGCGAGTGTTTACCGCGCCTGCATTCAGCGGACAGCTGTCTACTCCCCGCTGCTTCTATCTCTATGTTATTTCACCGCAGTCATTCTAATTGTATTCCTAGAACAGGATATGGTACCTAAGTGTAGTGAGTTTTTCATATTGAGTCAGAGGTAGACAACATTTGGTACTTTTACCCAGCTAACAGAGTTAAATTTAAATAAAAGAGTTCAACGGTTTAAAAAGCGAAATACGTACAAACTTGCCGTGGTGAAGGGTAGATCACGGCTGCTGCAAAGCATCCAAGACGTCGGGCCGGTCGTGCGTTTTAGACCGTTAAAGTGTTTTTATTAAATGTGTAATACTCGCGTTAATTATAGACACTGTTTAACCTCAACGATGTCATATTTATTTCATTACACGCAAATTTTTATTTACTAAAATAATTAAAATACGGATACGATACAGAGACGGCTACCTACAGATTTAATTATTTTAGTAAATAAAAATTCATATATAAAACAAACATATAGACATACAGACTGTAATAAAATATTGAAATGTGGAAGTTATTTATTATCACTCATTTTTACAGTCGGTCAACTGTAAATAACTTGAATAACTAAAACCACACAGTCCACGGAATCATTTAAAAACTCCCTGACCGCGTTTTCCCGTATGAAAATGGATTTTACAATTTTTATTCTGGCTAGCTTTTAGGGATTATTGTCGGTGCAAGTACAGATGTAAAAAGAATTCAGTTCTCTGTACACCTGTTATTTGCGTTAGATATTCTGTGACATATTTTTGTGTTTATTTCATTGATAGGTTTATTTTCAGATAATTTAATAACCTCCCCCCAAACGAATTAAGATATTATTGTAATATAGAATCTCTGTAAATAAGTAAATCTTAGTAATACATTTTCCTAGGGTTTCAACCCAAAACTCACGCTAAACTTCTAAAATATTCTATAAATACGATTCAGTCTAGCGAATACTCACAATTAATTTGAAAATTGTAAATAGTTTCCGATCTTATCCGCCATATTTATTGTAAACGAAGTTGCCATGAAGATGACAACTAGGTATGTTATGGTTATATTTTTCTAAAACGTGTAGTTTTCAAGCAATTTTATTTAAAATACAACTTGTTCGAGTTGTGCGTTTTTGTTGTTAAATGTCTGGATTCGATGACCCTTGAATTAGTTAAATTTCAGGGAAGGAAAAAGTTTACGAAAATCGCGACATTCTTTGGTTATTATTTATGTTATGGATGTTAAATAATGTTGTTGTTTATTAATATGCTTACTTTTCCATTATTTGTATGTGACAATTTTTATTTTATTTAAATTTCATAGTATAATTCTGTAGTATCTACTAGGTCATACAACCATTACTTTACTGGTTCAAAATAAATAGTTCTTCTATGTAACTCGTCTTTATATCGCAGTTCGCATAACCTCTGCCTTTGTCTAATTTTAACTCACATACAGATGTATCAAAGAAAATTGTCTTTAAATGGAAGAATTTATTGAATAAACTCCTAATAAAGAATAATGCATTTATTCGCTTTTATCGTCCTAAGATAGTAATATCAAAACGAATAATTAATATATAAAATAAATACTTATACCGTATGAAAAATATTATAAATTCTTTATCGCGAGTGGAATTCAAACCTGAATACAATGTTCCCACTAAACTAATAGAATTAATTATTATATATAATATGATTTTTATTACCTATAAAAATATATCTATACATAATTAATGTAATGTTCGATTTATTAATCATTTAGTGCATTAAAAGATATTTTAAAACGTGAAGTTTTTTAGTAATACATTTCATTAAATTTTTAATAAAAATATTATTGGTTTTTTTGGTACAGTTTGTTCGAAAGAAAAATTGACATGGTTAAGTGACAAGCGTGGAGTTCACATGATTTACGGTGAAATGCCCCAAATGTGTTGTCGGCCTATTTTCGCTCTGGACATCAAAAAATCCACCAACTGAAACCGAAAAATAGAATTACACTTTTAGCGATACACTGCTAACATTCGATCGGCGAGCCCGTCTCAATTTAATTAAGTCGTAAAGTTTTTCGTAATATAAAACCTTCACGGCGCGAATACATAAAAATTAAAAAGCAATAACAAGCCGAGAAACGCTGGCTGGCGAACGGACATAAAATTAAAATATCCGGAAAGAATCAAACCGTTATCTGTAATAGAAATCTTGTACATTTATCGAGGGCTGCTGTGGGATCTATATTAACAATTTTACGTTGTTTGTTTGTTTGGTTGAACGCAATTATGTCAAAAACTATTAAATCGAGTTAGGTGATTTTTTCTTTTTTTGGATCTTCTACGAAGGCTACACAGCGGAGAATAAAGAAGAGATTTCGGTTAGTTTTGCACTAATTATAATGCTAATATAAATATCTATAAACATTATTTAAGACAAATCATATTTACCGTTCAAGGTTAGATAAATCGCTAAGCTTTTAGTCACTATTTACTATTTAAATAAAAGGTCTTTAAGAGTTCAAAACACATCATTTTTTAGTTATCTTATTTAATCTAACTATGGCCCAATGTTTCAGATGCTTTTTATCGTCAAATTTAGCGATATCGGGCCGTAGTTAAAATTAATTAAAATATTTCGCTTTTTAACAGTTAAAATTTATTTAAATGTGTACACTCGCGTAAACAACAAACAATAACTAACCAGTGTTTTAGGAAATAATTGTATTTTTAGTATTGGGGTAAAACTTAGGGCGTAGAACGTGGGCAGCACCGCGGGCTGCAAATAGTCTTGTAGATTTATCGAGCCTGCGGTTGTGGAATGAAATATAGGCTTTTTTTTAAATGACAGCGGTGTATTGGCGCGCTTTCCCAGATTCCATTTTTAATCTCCTTTCGCTTCGCTTTTTGTTTATGTCTGATCTTTGTTTTGAATGCGTAATTAATTTTTCTTCGTACACAATGTATTCCGTTGAGGTCTGACGGTTTAATTAATTGAATTTTCGTTTTATGATACAAATAACTTTTTTTGGTATTTCCAAGTTATTTTTTTTTTCTATTTGAAATTATTTATTTTAGCTACATCAGAATAAGTATTGCCTTAAAATTACATTTTTTTTGCTTTTCATTTTACTCTCATCAATATAAATTAATTAATCTTAAAGAAAATTTTGTTGCTTTAAAGTCTTGAGGAGATACCTAAAGTGTCCCTCGTCTGATTATCAGACTTCTAATGTTAATCACAACGCATCTAGGTGTACAATTCTTAACATCGTAAATAATTTATCCTTAAACACAATGCACCTGCTGTGAATGGTTATGGATTTCCTTCGACTGTCTCTCGGCTCCATCATCAGATCTACTCCAAGCCTATATTACAAACATACCACGATTTTTAAAAGTTTTCCTCGGTGATTATCGATTTCCTTACAGAATGAGACTACCTTGGAAATATATTTTCCAATCGCTTCAGAAACGAAAATATCGATGAAAAAACTTTGGAGAAAAATCGAGAATCGAGAAGAATCAAGAATCACCTCTTTTGAAGTCGGTTAAAATACAATACTAAGTTTGTCTATTTAATCTTTGGCAACGATAAAAACTCGCTTTTCTGTGGTAATTATATAAAAAGTCGCCCAAGACCGGATGACTAACACATTCGCGAGAGGAAAAAATGGCGCGGCGAGGCCAAAACAAACAGCGCCGCTGCGAAACGTGAAGAAATGCTGAGTTATTTTCTCAAATATTCCCAGCAAAGGATCGCTCATAATGTGTTTTTTCAGCGCTAAGTGGCAGACCTGTCTTACCGTTGCCTGAATTAATTAGACGGTTAATTAAATTTCTGCCGCCGTCTGCGAAATCGGCGCTGAATACGTGCTTTTTGCATTTTGTGTTCCAGTCTTTTGTAATTAGAATATCTAATGGTTTATTGTTGGGTTAATTCGATACAAAGAAAGAGTTCAAATGCAGTCTGCTGTCCGAGATTGAAATTTAAAACTGGCTAATGCTAAACTAAATGCATTTCAACAGTAAAATGATTAGTTTAATGACATATTCTTGCTGCAACATGTAAGTAGTACAGATTTAAAGAAAACACTTTTAACGGCTTAAAACGCGAATAAATAAGTTAGTACTTTGTGTCCACCATGGCTGCTGAAAAGTATCCGAAATATCGCCCGTAGTTACCTTAAATTACTAAAAAGTTTACGCGAGTACTACTCGCATACACATTTGAATAAACGGTTCAAAATGAGAAATAAGGTTAATAATATACCGTTTAAGTGTGTCCTAGCCGCGTAAAGTATAGACAATACTTGTATAACTGACTTAGAAGTCTATCTACCGGCGGCAGCTACAAGAATATGTCATTAATAATTAAAAACACAATGCGACATTTTTTTTTTATTATCTACTTTATTTATGGTTATAACTTTGACAATTTACAATACAACGGTTTAAAACATATGCTTTACAGTGGCTGTGGTCATGGTCATGTGGTAACGTCAGGCCGTAGTTATTTTATTAGTTTTATTTATTCGTTAATATAAATATTAAGTCATTGCCAGTTTAGTACTTTTCTATGGTATAAGTTATTTACGTTACGTTTTTAAACTTAAATACGGAGATCCAACAAAGTGTGATATTATTCGTAGTACACTTTACCAGAAATATGCTATATTTCTTATATATTCTTCTATCTATATTTATACTAATGTATAAAGCTGAAGAATTTGTTTGTTTTCTATGTTTGAACGCGCTAATCTCAGGAAGTACGAGTTCAAAATGAAAAATTATTTTTATTTTTGTGTTGGTTGGTCATTTATTGAGGAAGACAATAAGCTATAAAACAATCCCCTATTACTAATACAAGCGAAGATACAGCGCGAAATGTGAGAAAAATTGGGTACCCAAAAAAAAATGTCCGGGATACTGTATGTCGATCTTTTAAGATTAACTTGCAAGAAAGCGCCCGATGTCGTGGGTAACACTTAACAAAAATTTATAAAGATGCCTATTTATCATGAGAACAGTGAAACTTATCACCTAGTGTTAGACATCACCCAAGACTTGAAACGTAGGTTTAATA